CACACACATCTAATTAAAAGGCAATTTACTGATTTTTATGTGTTATACAAAAAATATTTTCTTTAAATTATAAATAATATTAATATGTGTCAGAAATGATTACTTTTTATTCGATAAAACGAAAGAAATGCGCCTATTTACATGGTATTTGTGAACATTTATTTTAGGGGTCGCCAAAAATTTTCTCTCTACAAAAGGGGTCGCAGTCGAAAAAAGTTTGCGCACCACTGGCATAGGGGAGCGAATTGAGCAACTTTTTATCGGCATTTAAGGGATTAATTATAAACCATACAAATAATCAAGATAATTGTTAATTTTTGAACATAATTTTATATATGATAAGCCCAAGGGGTTATAACTATTAAACTTGTGTTTATAGTATTATTAAATTAATTAAAAAATGCAATGTGCAGTACTGATACATTTATAAGTTTTTTTATATCAGTGTCAGAATGTATTTTGTTTGTTTACTTTCAGTAAATTACCGTAGAATCCGGCGTATAACGCACACCCATACTTTCAGGTTGTATTTTTTTAATTTTTAGGTATATTCGCCGTATAACGCGCATCCCCATTTTTACGAAAGAACGACAAATGTGCGTGTACAATGCTGGTATGTTTTTAAGCCATTTTTGTTCGAGGTATTATCCCATAATTTTGAAAAATAGTATATTTTTAGAATCAGAATCTTTTAATTTCATTAGGTAAGTCGTTTCTTTCAACTATAGACAATAGTCCGATCAATGTAAGAGTCTAATTTTTCTTATTTTTGACACTATCATTTTTTTAGACCCGGCGTATAACGCGCACCCCTAAACTTCGACCTCATTTTTTGTGTTAAAAGTGCGCGTTATCTGCCGGAATTTACGGTAATAATTTTTTTTAAATCTTTTGTTTACGACTTTTCAATATGCTCGCGCCCCCCTTGCAGAGTTATCACGCCCCACAGTTTGAGAAATGCTGCTTCAATTTGTATTGTTTAATTTTTTAGTTCACCGGTACGAAGAACGTGTATACCAGCTAGCATGAATTAAACAATAGTCTCGACAAAAAGTGGTTTCACAAATCGAATACCAACTATTTTATTCCAAAAAGCTATCAATCTTTAAAAGAAAATTTTTTTTAACTATCGAACGTAAAATTACAAATTTTGTTATTATAAATTATTTTTCGAAGCTACAATATTAATAAGTGTTTCTTTTATATAAAAAATTTGCTGTGAAAGTTCACCTTGGATAGTTAAAAATACAAAATTCGAAACAATACAAGAGTAGCATTTGTTCTCATCGTTTGAAAAAAAATCAAAAATTAAATGAAAATGCTTTATTTAGAATATCACATATTTTTGTATGTAATATACTAAAATATTCCATCACATGACATAAATAGATGTATTACATAGAATATTTAAATTAATTTTTCCCGCCATTTTGAGAATTATCGAACGTTATATTGTTATCGTAATTTCAGCAATTCCTTTTAAATTTGGGGACTGTAAAATGTCTTTAATTACATGAAACGCAATCTGATAAAATAAGATTAAAAAAAAAGAAGGATTATTTACTTACTTTTTGAAACGGAAACTACTGATAAAAACTCTTTTAGATTAAAGTAGATATAAGTTATCGCCGCTCGTGATAACTTTGAGCGGGAATCTCTAATTTTATCAGTTCTATGTTACGATTTAGATTTAAAAAATATACATTTAATCACACATTTTTTATAACATCTTGATTGTTAACAGAATTCTTATTTTTAAAAATTCTATTTATATATATATATTATCTAATTCTAAAAATGGTGGTAATTTTTATAGATATTTTATAATACGTTACTATGGTGATTTCGCAATGAGCGCAACGAAAACTTTTCTTTTAATCGCTTAAACACTTTCAATTGTACTGTATTGAATACGCATTTTCTCTCTTTTTCTCTCACCCTGTTTTTTTTTCTTTTCTATTTAGTTCTGTAAGTACGTGTAAATATTACTTTAGAGATCTAATAGCTTGCTGCGGAATCACTAAAAATTGTCAGGTAAATATTTTCAAACATCAGGAGAAAAAAAAACAGATGTGGGTACTTTAATTTTCAAAGAGCTTTACTGGTTGCAAACACAATATTTTATATCTTTTGCTTCTTTTATAACATTAGCTTACGACTTACAATATTTCAAGAATCAAACTAAAAAAGAAATCTTTTCATTTAATTAAGTATCAAAAGAAGAGATAGTATATGACAATGCAAGGTCTTTGAGATTTTCCTCGGTCTTTGTCTTGGTTTCATGTTGGAATAGAGATCTTCAAACTTTCTTTTTCACGGCTTACGCCCTTAGTCGGGGAAAAAAATGATTCTCAAAATTTTCGATTTTTTCGAAAAGTGACAATTTGAACATATGTGGACTGTCCCCTCCCCCCTAGTAATTGAAATATGTGGCCAACAGGTGATCCGAAGTTTCTGGACATTGTTTTATAAAAAAAAAGTATTGGAGCTATGTTTTGAAGGGAAAATGCCAAAATGATCTTTCTAATAGAACAAGTCATATATAAAAAATTTTTTTAAAGTCAATTCCTACTTTGAATGGATGCATTGAAAGTATTTTGTTAACGATTAAAAATTTGGGCAGGATATATAAATAAATAAATATATACATGGCGAGAGTGAAATAATAGTAGGAATTGAAAAAAAGAACATGATTTGTCCTCATTGTTGTAACAATGCACACTCGGTTTGGGTTGTTTGGCTGAAAAACCGGCTTTCGACGCCAACTTTTGTCATTGTTTTAACGTTGTTACAACTATGGAGACGAATCTAAGTTGGCGTCGAGAAAACCGGTAATCAATTTAATTAATGAATATTTGAAAAAACTGTATTAAAATCAAGTGTCATCCAGTACAAGTTTAAAAAAAATTATTTGAACTTGATTGGATGAATAGAAATTATTGTATTTTTGAACAAAATAAATGTATAAATATATATAGAGAGAGTGCGAGATAATAGTAAGAACTGAAAAAAAAAGTGTGTGTGTGTGTGTACTTATGTACGCACGTAAGAAGTTGTTATTCTTTATCGTAACAAGATTACAATCTTTCTAAAAATCTTTAGCAGGGCAAGCTGGGCCAAGGACGAAGGCGGTCACGAGCAGAGTTGAACGATACTAACCTTTAGTCAATCGGACCTGCCACGTCTGAGATAATCACTATTTAAATAAATTTAAACACCCCCACAATGGAACAATAGGACCAATAATATGGGGAGGGGGTCGAAGGTGGGAATGATCTGTCCCGTTCTGCATATTTCTAGACAAAGCATTTTCGTATCCGTTCCGACGGAACGCAAAACAAAGGTTCGCTGAAGCGGGGGTATAGCTCAGTGGTAGATCGAGAGGTCCTCGGTTCAAACCCGGATGCTCCCTTCTTCAGGAAGTGGAGAAATATTTTTTTGAGAAATTCGAAGGCGGGAATGATCTGTCCCATTCTGCATATTTCTAATCAAAGCATTTTCGTATCCGTTCCGTCGGAACACAAAGCAGAGGTTCGCTGACGCGGGTGTATAGCTCAGTGGTAGTGCATTCGGCTGCAGATCGAGAGGTCTCCGGTTCAAACTCACGTGCCCCCTTCTTCAGGGAAGTGAAGAGAAATATTTTTCTGAGAATTTCGATGGCGGGAATGATTTGTCCTGTTCTGTATATTTCTAGATAAAGGATTTTTGCATCCGTGACGGGGTGCGCGCGTATTGAAAAAATTTACCCTCATCCTATTTTTCTAACGCCCCAAAAGAAGTATAGCTTAAAAAAAGCTTATAGAGTGAGGTAAGAAAAGCGCTTGTGTGTGTGCTTCTTTACACTCAAAGTTGGATTTCTCATAAAGCTAGCCTAAGCTATGCCTTAGAGCTGTGCTCCCCAATCTTTTTACTGTCACGGACTGGTAGAAGATTGATAATTTTGCCACGGCCTACTGAAGGAGGGTAGGAGGACGTTGATTTTTTATGTTTTATACCCCTCGCGGATATCACGATATTTTTCGCATGCGTGGTATTGGTGCGGCTTTAGGTAACGTCTCTCAGCTCCTTGTTAATCTTTCGTCTGTGGGGAGTAGCACAACCCCGACAGAATTACACCACAGTAAATAATGTATAAATAATTTATTTTTCCTTGGGTGGCCCAGTACCATTTGATCCATGCACCGGTGCTGGTCCGCGAGTTGGGGATGGACCATTGCCTGAGGTTACATCAGTCAGGAAGAAACAACTAGCCAAATATTTACAATTCAAAAGTTTTTCAATTGCGCCTGGTTAGTTCCATTTTATTTCTATTAGAGCAGCATTTCTTAAACTGTGGGATGCGCTCCCCTTGGGTGCGTGATAACCCGTGTGTGGGGGCGAGCATATCGAAAAAATAAAAGATTATTTAGAAATTTTTTGAAGTTATCCTTCTTTTGGAGAGTTAGAGAAATAGGATGAGGGTGAATTTTTACGATGCGCGCGCACACCGTCACGGATGCGAAATTGTGCTTTGTCTAGAAATATACAGAAAGGGACAGATCATTGCCACCTTCAAAATTCTCCGGAAAATATTTATCTTCACTTCCCTGAAGAAGAGGACATCCGGAATTGAACCGGAGACCTCTCAAACTGCAGTCGAATACCTTACCACTGAACTACACACCCCGTGTTAGCGAACCTTTGCCTTGCGTTCCGTAGGAACGGATACGAAAATGCTTTATCTAGAAATATACAGAAAGGGACAGATCATTCCCGCCTTCGAAATTAAAAAACCATTTCTTCACTCCCTAAGAAAAAGACACCCGGTTCTGAACCGAGGACCACTGGATCTGCAGTCGAATGCTATACCCCCACAGCTATACCCCCACAGCAGCTAACCTTTTGCTTTGATCCATAGGAACGGATACGAAAATGCTTTGTCTAAAAATAAACAGAGCGGGACATATAATTTTCGCCTTCAAATTTAAAAAAAAAAAAATATTTGCTTCACTTCCCGAAGAAGAGGACACACGGGTTTGAACCAAGGATCTCCCGATCTACAGTCGAATGCTCTACCACTGAGCTATGCCCCGCGTCAGGGGAAACCCTTTTTGTTTTGCGTTCTGTAGAACGGATACGAAAATGCTTTGTCTAGGAAACATACAGAACGGGGCAGATATTCCTCCCTTTCGAAATTCTCAAAAAATATTTCTTTTCACTTCTCTAAAGATGGGGCCCCCGGGGTTTGAACCGGGGAACATTGCTTGCATTCCCTTGGAACGGATAAAAAAAATGCTTTGTCTAGGAATATAAAGAACGGAACAGATTGTTCCCGCCTTCGAAATTCTCAAAAAATATTTCTTTCACTTCCCTGAAGAGGGCACCTTGTTAAACCCGGGCCCTTTCTCGATTAGCAGTCGAATGATGTACCACTGAGCATACTCCCCGTTCTGCGAACCTTTGTTTTTGCGCTGTTTTTAGACGTCACTACTAGTAGGAGAGATCGTCCTTCGCCTACGGAGCTTTCTGATTTTGTTTGAACACTTTTGTTTTTAAAAACCAAACATACTTACAAAAAATTTAAAAAAAAAAAGAATAGAAAATTTAAACTTAAAATGGGTTTCATGACATAAAACAAAAGGGAGTAAATATTATTACCTATTTAATACCTAACGGCAAGTATATGATTATAGATGTATTTACTACGAAAGCATTGCGATGAACATAAACACCTTTATTACATTGTAGCAAATTATAAGAGCCTTTTCTATTCGTATATTTCTTTTTGAAGTTACCCTTCTTTTAAGGGGTTGGAAGGATGAGAGTAATTTTACGATGCACGCGATACCCTTTACGACAACGATGCGCGCGAGCACACCGTTGTTTTAATATTTTAACATGCCACTTTTTTGCGCTAGGGACTGATATTTGGGGATCATAATAACTACGTTATAAAAACCCTACAGTGGGACGCATCCCCCACCTGTGCATTCCCTACAGCTTTTTGGCCAATATCTCGACACCTGAGCCTCACGTCCATTAGGGCCTGGCTATTCAATCCTCTCTATATGCTCTTCCAGTTATTATAATTTCATGCTCATAGGGCTATTTCTTCCATAGTTTTTTAAATTTTTTTTAAACTTTTAAATTTGCTTAAATTAAATATCTTGGCTCCTGTTCGAGTCTCGGACTTGGGGATTGAACCAAGTGTTTCACTCGTTGAGACCCATCCAGTCATCTGCTTCATTCTTATTGTTTTGACATGGGGAGTGCTTAAACACTAAAATATCATGCTCCCATGTTAATCCTATGGGGACTGGAAAAGATTTCATCCCCCCTAAGGAATTGATCTTGGAACTTGATTTTTGGAGGTCCGCCATATTTTCGTATTAGCACGAGCTTTACGTGGAATTGGCTCCCTCCCCCCTACAGGGCTTCCCCAGAAATATCTCGAATCCTATGCCACCTTGGTCGACCGCACCGGCTGGATTCGATTGTTCTTCCTATGAGCATCCTAGATATATTTTTTCAGGAACACATAGCCCCATTTCTTTATCCATATTTAACATTTTAAAATTATTTTAAAGTTATAATTTTTTAAAAATCCCGCATAGCTCCGAGAATTTTGAGATTCGTTAATAAAACTTGGACCATAGGTTCTCCTCGTTGAGCTGTTTCATCTGTTATAATTCGTGTGTAGATAGTGGGCTTAGGAAATAGGCGTTATCACTAAAATTAGAATCCCCATGTTTTTCTTATGGGGTTCGATATTTTGATTGCCGTAACGATATTACAGAGATAGAGGATGAAACTTTTGGATCACCTACTACTCTGTGTATCGTTGGGATGTACGTGACCATTTGCGTCACAGTTATTCCCCTCCGGGGGGGAGTTAACTGCGCTTTCCTTTCCCGAGCTAGCACCACCCATTTGCAACTACAGACTCCGGACCGGTTCTAATGCATTTCTCTTGTGTTTGCTCACAACCAGGCCCAGTTTCGAGTTGCTGGGTGTCCTTCTTCTATTTTATTTAATTGTTTTAAATGTTTTAATTATTTTAAAATGACCATAACTCGGGGGCTCTTCAGGCGAATGCCTTAATTTTCTCAGGAACTATTCTTCCCGCCGAGACATTCAATATGAGGTCTCAGATGTCACATTCGGTTCACTTCATCCCCAGATACAGTCTGATACGCCCCATGTTATTGGCCCTGTTGTCCCCGTGCGGGGGTGTTCAAATTTATTTAAAACGTGATTATCTCAGGTTTGGCTGGTCCGATTGACTGAAGGTTAGTATCGTTCAACTCTGCTCGTGAACGCCTTTGGTCCTTGGCCCAGTTTGCCCTGCTAAAGATTTTTAGAAAGATTTTAATCTTGTTACGCCAAAGAAGTATAACTTCTTACGTGCGTACATAAGTACACTTACTTTTTTTTATTTTACTGAAGGGCAAAACAAAATACATACTGACATAATAAAAATAAAATACACATTTACAATGATATGATATGCTTATAAATGTATCAGTACTGCTCAATGCATTTGATAATTCCTTTAACAGTACTAAGATAAGAACGAGTTTAATAATTACTAATGGCTCCTACACATAGGCTTGTCATGTACAAAACTTAATACTTATCTTGATAATTTGTAAGGTTTATAATTAAAATCGTATTGTAGCTTTTCGTCAAAGTATATTATTGAATTCAATAAATTGTTGTTGAATGGGGGATTATGATTGAAAACAGGGTCACAAATGCTGAAAGTTTGAGAAGCACTCAGGGACGTCTTAAGGCATGGGCTAACTGGGCCCGGGCCCAGGACTTTACGCTCAGGGGGGCCACGTTTCGTTCTGGACTCTGTCTTAATAAGATCCTGATCCGGATAATTTTAATGGTCAAATATTATTCCCGTACATATTCTCCAAAAACCAGGGAAATTCAAACAGCATGTCAATTGGCAAAAGTGGTAAGACTATTATTATGTGATGACCGTTGTCCATATCTAGGCCTAGGCATAACATGGTCAAACACCATAAATAATCATTTAACTTAAGGCTTTTTTCGGTTAATGTTAAAGAATAGGACCTGCATTTGGAACATTTTTTCAGATAGAAAAGAAATGAAAAATTAATATGATATTCTGGCTTCACTATCCTTTAGAGAGCAGCATTTTTATCATACTTCCCATTTTTTTAACCGAGTGGATTCATTTTTTCTGGTATAAAACGTGTTTCGCATTTTTTATCCTATACCGTAATGTTAAATGGGCTTTGCCTTAACGCATTAAAACAAAAAAGAGAGTATTCACGGAATATTTTAAAATTTTTAAAAAAACTTTATTGTTAACAGAGGTATGAGTTATAATATTGCAAATTTCCATGGAAATTGGGTAATTTTTCTGCCTGAAAATGTGTTTCGCGTTTAGTTAGAGCTCTCGTACTTTTACCGAAAACAGCCTTAATGAGGTTGATTCATGTGACGTCATAGTCACATGATAGTGAAAGCCACGTGATTCTAGCCAATCAATTCAAAAACTCATGTGACGTCATAGTCACACGATAAAAACTACTTGTGTTTCCAGCTAATCAGTTCACGCACTCCGGTGTTGCCAAGTTTTGCTCTTAGCAGAAACTTTCTCTTAAAAAGTACATATGTATACAAAATGCATTTTATTTAAAAGTATAAGCATAAAATACGACTTTTTTTTAATTAAAAAAAACTTTTTGAAGAAATTTTTTTTTTCTAACATTTAAATATCTTTAACCAAATATGAAATTTGAAATTTTATCTGCGTTTTTCAAATAGAACAAGTACAATTAGTTTAATGTTTGTTTTGGATTCAATGGAAAACACGTGTTTGTTTTTATCATGTGACTTCATGAATCAAGCCCATTAGTCGAAATGCGGCCATTGGTTGAGCCGTGCGCATTAATTTGTTTCAAATTACCGTTTGAACGAGCATTTTACAAAGCATGCTATATACTCTCTACTTTTTAAGATCTCAGGTAGGGCCTACTTTTGCATAGGGGCCCAGGGCCTAAACATTCTTAAGTTTTTTTTGGACCCAGGGCCTCCAAGATTCTGAAGCCGTCGCTGGAAGCACAGCATTTGAGATATGTGCCTTTTCGCGGGGCCTCATCCTTATGTTGGTTAAGGAGGAGATTTCGCTATAATGGGCTCAATTCATGTGACATCATAGTCACAACATGATAGTGAAGGCCTCGTGATTTTAGCCAATCAATTCAAAAACTCATGTGACGTCATAGTCACACGATAAAACCTATCTTGTGTTTTCAGCTAATCAGTTCACGCGCTCCAGTGTTGCCAAGTTTTGCTCTTTGCAGAAACTTTCTCTTAAAAAGTACATATGTATACAAAATGCATTTTATTTAAAAGTATAAGCATAAAAAAACGACTTTTTTAAATTTAAAAAAATCTTTTTAAGAAATTTTTCCCTAACATTTAAACATCTTTAACCAAATATGAAATTTGAAATTTTATCTGAGTTTTACAAATATAACAACAAGTACAATTAGTTTAATGTTTGTTTTGAATTCAATGGAAAACACGTGTTTGTTTTTATTATGTTACATCATGAATTGAGCCCATTGCTGAACGTCATTTCACTATAATCCGGACGTCATTTAATCGAAATAATTACAAACAGGTTTTCTTAATAATCTACTTTTAGTAGTTTAAACGTTAGAAATGAATATGGGATATACAGACAAGACAACAGCTAAAGGGTAAGAATAAATGGGTAATGTGAAATGAGATGCAACCTCCGAAACTTGCCAAAGAGAAATTCTCCGAGATTTTCTAACTCTCAAAAAGCTTCTGTTAAAAAGTTAATGTGGCAATTTTGTTCATAACATCTTATAATCTCTATAATCATCTACATTATAATCTATCTCATGGACTATTTATGTACTGTTTGGTATTGAGTTGAAGTATTGGATGTGTTGTTTTAGCTTAAAATGCCAATTTGGCTGGATGGAAGAAAACCCGAGTTGAGTTGAGTTAACCTCGCAGATAATCCATTGTTACAGCTTCTTTCATTAACTTTTTTTAAAAAAACAAGTCAGCCCTCTGT